CAGCTTCACAGAATGTCTCGGGGGAATCGTCCCAAACTTTTTTCGATTTTGAGGTTATGGGTTCGACTCCCAGCACGGACGTGATCTTCTTTTTCTTCTTTTGTTTCTTTTACTTGTTAAAACGAGGTCATCTACATCCATTTATTTTTCACTTTATTGTCATAATATCAGCTATTTTCAATTAACAATTCGAGTTAAAAGACATTTACTCTGATGTTGAAGTTACGTCCAAACGTACGATTATTAATTACTGTTCAAGCGTTTCTAAAGAAAAAAGAAAAAAACGAGCAAAAAGTTTTCGTATGGATGAATCAAAAAATAGATATTTTTGAATGAAAGAGAATAACTTTGGCTTGGCTGGTGGCGGAATAACAGTCTCCTAGAAATCACACTAAAAAAATAGGAACCAATGAATTGCTATAGCGCAACGATAATCATAATCTTTCCGTTTGGCATTCAAGAAAGACTTGAGGACACCAATAAGATGTCATTGGCACACCAAACCAGCCGTCAAAACGATCATTGCGATTCCCACTGGCACGTTCTCAATGAAACTCTTTACCAGTTTTTTTACCAATTTTTACCAGTTTTTTGGTTTAAAGTTTTTCAAAAAGACAGAAAAATATGGGGAATTGTTGGGGTTAAGTCCATGAATAATAGGATGGTAAACTCTTGCAGCGCCATCTTGACAGTCTAGWGGGGGAACAAATCCTTTYACTTCAGCTTCGTGTCTGTCAACAAAGAAGACCACAGCAATCAAGACATGCAAAAAGGATTTAGGGGCGACACCTGAAACGTCTAACGCCCCTTGAATTTTATTTATTTTTTTRACGGGAAAATCAACGAAACACTGAAGTTCTTGTCAAATAGGTGAAAATAAAGGAAAAGGTGGCGCCACACCTAAGACCACGGTCGGATCCAGGAATTTCTCTAGAGAAAGCACAGGTCTCCCTAGAAGGGGCGTTGGTACCACCAAAATGTTCGCAAAGGAGACAAAATTTAAGGGTAAGATCAAGATAAAGGTTTGGATGTGCGTTCTCAAATGAACACAATCCTACACTATATAAATACAGTAAAATGACTTACTTAGCTTGACTGAAAGGTCGTTCATCTGTTACCCAGCCAGTATCCACAGATGTCATATAAATCCCGTCCATTTGATACTCCAGTCCACTTGTTCGAGTCATCATATTCAGTGCAGCTTTAGCCATRTTGGTGTGAGGATGACGATGTCCTTTGGAGTACCGGGAAAACTGACCTTCCATGGCAGACACGTTCACCACAAACTTTCGCTCAAATGGACTTTGCTTAAGGAAAGGCTTTAGTTTTGCTGTGAGGATAAATGGACCCACTGCATTGATAGTTAATACCTGGAATACAACAATCAATACCTGAGTGCTCAACAGGTATGGTAGGATATGATTTATGAATCAATTCATCGTTCACAGAATCGATCAATCAATCATGGAATCATTCAATCAATCCATCAATCAATCACTGAATCAATCAATCAATCCATCAATCAATCACTGAATCAATCAATCAATCCATCAATCTGTCAATCAATCAATCAATCAAAAGTGTAAGACAAGAAATAGCATACTTGTAATAATTCTTGTAGCGGAACCTCGTCCAGATTGTATGTCCAGCTGTTTCGTTGTCGCAGGTCCAGTTGTTCACCATGTTCATCTTTCAGATCTTTTGGGAATTCATCCATAACCCARGGCAGAGATGGCGGTTGTTTGTTTACGGTAGGTTGTTGGTCAATRGCAACTCTCTGTGGCTGATTTAAATGATCTTTGCTGACAAGCAGRTTACAGGCATCCTTAGACAATGTTGGAAAGACAGTTACTTCGTCTGTCATCAACGACTCGTAATATTGTGATGGTCGATGGATTGTTTGTGCTGCATTGTTGATTAATATGTCCAAGTGTGGGATGTTTTGTTTTACATACATGAGAAATTCCTCGATGGTGCCCATATCTAACAGATTGAGACGGCATATTTTRAGCCTGTGTTTCCAGACATTAAAATCTGACAGTTCGCTGAATCTAAAATTAAAAAAAAATTGATCAAAGCGTGATAGAGCAWTACATGTACAAAACACCCCCTAATTAACTCATGCAACCCTGGCCGACCCTGATCTGCGTGTCGGCCCCCTGTGTACGAGGATGTGTGCCGCTACGAGCCTACGGCAGCCCTACAGCTATTTTGTAAGGGGCCGTTCAAAATTTAGCTGAGGGGGGAGGGGCATTTCTTAAAATTAATTTTCTGTAGGCCCCCTGAAATAGCAGCGATTTTTCTTGGACCCCCATAAATTGTTCCGGTGCCCAGGACCCCCTCATCCATGCATAATGCGACATTACACCCCGATTCTTGCTAAAGATATTTTACATAATCAGTTCTTCGAAGTTCTGCCGCTGTTCCACTTCCTGTTGTTGTTAYATGGGTAAGTCACCATCCTCTGATGGTTGATTGTGATTCTTGATGATTGATTACTTGTATTTTCAAGACCCTATCTCAACAACATTATTTCACTTTTCACACATCCCCATACGGTGCCCCTTAAATAATGACCGGTCCCTAAGGTGGGATGGATGGGAGGTAGCGGTATCACTCCAGGTATCACTATGTACCTGGTACAACAGTGTACACTCACCGTTTTGCAGCGTCGACAGTAAACCTGGTGGTTACAATCACAAAACATCCGTCCCTTAGAAGACGCAGGGAAGTTTCAAAACCTATCTTGATTCGACCGCCGGTTACAATACAAAACCTTTCAGTTAGATCACACGATGCTGTTCTCATTTCATTGTTAAGAGCAAGGCATTCATCACAAAAGCGATCAAATAACCCTTTAGAATTGCACATATAACACGGCCTGTTTTTAACAGTCGCATTCCCTTTTTGCATCTTGCTTAGTAATTTGAAAACACTTTTGCCTGGTCGACGTCTGTCGTTGTACGATTGTGATACAACAATGTCAGTATCATTCTCTGCTCTTTTTCGTTTTGAAGACGGCTCCTGCAAGCTGACTTTACCCTCCCGTAATATACCAGGATGAGCGTCCAATAGACGACTCATATCCTGGAGATTTGTAAGAAATTTGAACACATCCACGCTGGTCTTCAAAGCATCAGTGTCGGCCATTGATTGTACGTGTGTTGTAAGCTTCACTATGTTCGTTTGGATTTCCGCATTGTTTTTGTCCATCAAATGCCTCTTTAATCTTTCCTTCAGCTCAAGGAATTTCGACGAAGAGCAGTTTAACCACATAAATTTCACTTTTGGGTTTTCAAGCATCTCGCAAAATGCTGGTAAAGTACTCAAAATGTCATGTATTTTGACGGCTCGACAATCCAGGACACATCCCATCTCATCACTGAATTCGTCTTGACAAACMGAGCTCAGTTCGGTAACTRCAATCACTTTATACAGCTTTCCTTCGTGCATAAGCTCCATGTTGTATACTCAGCTTCATYCGCCGTTATACGCAGTTTTGATGTAAGATAGCGATATAAATTCCCAGCTTACTTATAAGCGGCCAWTGTTGCCAATTTCTTCATCCAGGTTACATCAGCTAGTCATGACGTCACGTTTGTTAAATCATTGCGGGGTTTCCCTTGACGAAAAATATAGACCACGATAGGTCTTTTGTCTTTGATGTTTTTCTAAACCCGTAAAAGACAATTTTAAAAATTGCTGTTAGGTTAGTGATATAATCGTAGTAASGAGCAAACTGGGGTAGAGAAACTGTTGAGGTCATGCAATCACCCAATAATTACTCAGGGTTCCAAAGGAATCCCGAGTTTAAGTTTCGGCTGTCTTTTTCATCGTCGATATGGTATCAAAGAAACGACAAAAGTATATATAAATTTTATGGATATAATGAAATTTAACTAATGTATAAATTATTCACTAGCAGATATCAAGCAGAWCCCTGMGTTAAGGTTTCTTTTTGGGACATGGTTAACTGGCTTTTGTTTGAAATGAAAACACACTGAAATATAAGGAAAACAAGTAACCTTTACAAATAGAGATATTTGTTAGATTGGATGGAAATGAATTGTGAATGAATTTGTAACATGAAAACACTGAATGCTGGTGGCTAATGGCCTTTTAAGTTCTATCCTGTTTCACAAAATATCAACAACAACAAAAATAAGAGATAGAAAGAAAGAAGCAAAAGGCACAAAAAGTGAAAGAAAAAGAAAAATCAAAGGAAAGAATAAAAGAAAAGAATTTATTGAACATGAAACATGAGTGAGTTCTTGTTATTTATTGTTGAAATCTATCAGCATATATGTAGATCTCAGCAGATTCTTTTCTGCTTGCACGTGGTTTGACTTTCTTCACCCTCTTGAAATGAACTTGAATATTCTTCATAAAATCTAAAATAAAAAGCTATTAATAAATAATGTAAAGTTGTGATCCACTTCCTCCACCCCTGTAGGGATATTGTTGCTACAAAGACACAATATGTGTGCCACTTATATAAAGCTGCCTAGTAGTGTTAGCTGGTTGTGAAACACCAATCAGTAATTGTGACAAACTGTTAGGTTTTAACATTCATAATTCATGATGAATCACTCTTGATGATATGATTGATTGATTGATTGATTGATTGATTGATTGATTGATTGATTGATTTTTCTCACCTTGTGTCCCCCTTCCGTCCCAAATCTTGCAAACAAATGTGCCTCCACTCTTCAGAACATTAATACCAAAATGGTAAACATCTTCTGCCAATTCCTAATTTAAGAACATTGGTTTACCAGTCATAAAATAAACAATTTTAAGAGATTCATTATTTTAACAATTGAACACAGGATAAAAAAAGTCAAAAATGTTCAGTATTATATTAACTGTAATGCAATGAAATGCTTGCAATTTTAGTTTACTTGCTAAAAGTACTGACATACAAAGACATTTAGTTGAACTGTAACTGATCCTTAAACCTGATCTCTATCAAATCCCCTGTGTCTATAGTGATTTGGCCTTTATGGATCACCAATTGAGTTTGTCTTGATTGTTGATTATGATATCATTTTTGGGTGTAAGAATTTATCATGAAAATGCAGAGTAATAGTAGTGAATGGATGCTACCTACCAAAATGGCCTCATGATCCATGCTGTGATTCCCAGATGAGTTAGGGGCCATGTCACTGTAAATAGAGATATTACTTGTTTTGAAGTTGTATAAATAAGCCTCCCTCATTGATTGATGTTTCTGTGTCAAATTCATGCAAACATTTCTGCATGAAATCTCTTCTGGGGTCAGATGCAAAGCAATTAAGTCACCATCATTGGAAACTAAAAATGTGGCTGATCTTTTATGAGAGTGTTTACAGGAACTTCATTGACAGGGGGTATCCAGGGGGAGGTCACAGGGTGYMCRTGACCCCCCTTTCAAAGCCAAAAAAGCGTGAAAACCATAGATTGATATGACATCATATTGATGTTATATGACGTCATAGTGACAATTTGGTATGTAAGGACCCCCCAATGAAATTCCTGYATATGCCCCTGATTGACTGCTTAAAGCACAGGGTTTCCCAAGGTATAACGAAGGACTTATACAGATATCTTCTGACAGAAACTAAAATTATCAGCTTTGCCACAAAAATATTAGAATTTTCTGAAAGATATATTACATCTGCAGATGGAAAATTAAATCAAACTTCTTATTGTTTAGAATTCCAAAATGTCTTGAAAGCCTTGGAGAAACGCAAGAGGTATATTAATGAAACTGAAAATAACCACACAATAATCTGGTGATTATGAAAGTTAATAAATACCTGAGTATGACATCAGCTCTWTTATCTGGTAGTAAAGATAAAATCTTTTTTTGTGTTTCTTTTGTTGTGAAATCATGTCCACTTAACAATGTTGCTCCTGGTATATCCTTGATATCTGTTTGAAATTAGCAAACAATACAAAATAGACTAATGTAAGCCATGAAATATGTGGACAAAACCAAGGTCAGTCTAAATCTGCTCAAGGTATGCTCCCTAGAGTAGACTTGCAGCCCTTTGTCCAAACAAGGCTCAGTATGGGAAATTAACAATTTGATAATATAATTCAACAGTGGAGGAACAGAATGGAGGCTGGATCACTATTACCTAAAAGGTCAATCCCAATAACAATGCCTTGACTTGCATTTCTCAATCCTGCAATAAAAAAAACATGTCTGTTATAATAATTATCATGCCTTTACAAAAGTAGTTTGGCTGAATGTGTTTTAAATTTTAAAGGTTTGCTGATTTCATAGGTTAGATTTAATTATTTTTATCAGAAACCTATAAGGGACTTGAAACATGTAMCGCCCGTACATTTCTTTAGTACCAAACGTCGGAATATTCAAAGCTCATTAAAAATTCGAAAATGAACGTTATGACCATATTGGAAAATTCGGCCATTCGATAAGAGATTTAAGCCCCGTTCTGGTTGGGTATAGGGTAAATTTAATTGTTCCAAATAAGGAAATGAGATGCAAGTTACCTTTGAATATTCCAACAGTTGGCACTGCGTTACACGTTTCAAGTCCTTTATAGGTTTCTGTTTTTATACAGCAAACAGCCTCAAAAGGATGTTATTCCTGCATCCTATGAGAGTATCAGTTCAAGGCACACTGCAAAGGTTTTATTTTCAGCCCTAATATGTCAACTGATTGACAACCCTGATTACATTATTTTGTAAGTAGGGAAAGGAATATAATAATTGGAAATCTTAAAACACCTCTAAAAATAGCAGAAAAGTTTAGCAAAGCATTGTCATCATTCTCATATCTACAGATCCAATGAAGATAACATCTTAGATATTTGGTGGGCCAATGATACAAACCTTGTTTGCTGGGGTGCACATTCTGGATAGCTACTTGCGTCCACGATCCTGGACTTGCTCCACAATCAATCTGAGAATTAACAGTGAAATTACTGGTATTATYGCATATATAATTGACACAAAACTATGTAAATAAGCTGGTAAATAAGATCCATAAAAACAAAAACCATAAAAACAGATGTCACCAGCCACAGCATGTTTGTATAAAAATATGGTTACTCGGGACACCATAAACCTGACACTGGATCCAAAAATTTAACCTACCACAGTTTTTCCAGGCTGCAAGAAATTGAATTTACTATTTAGCTCTAGCAATTTGTAAGCACTTCTGCATCTGTAATCATCTCTGGCTGCATTTTTGACATAAGGGTCCTGTGGTGTGACAACACTTTCAGTTAAAATTAATATTAAATTCAAAATTGTACTAATGCAAATCAATGTTAACTTATATATTAGAGTAATATTGTTGTACACCTACAGATAAATGCCTCTTTATCCATGATGAGCTTGTATTTTTGAAAGATACTTGACCATGAGAAAAACATCTATAATTTTTACATTTTTTTAGTTACAAATAAGGCTCAGAATAATTTTACTAAAATAATAAAATTCTACCAAAATTGTTGTCATTGTTTTCAAAATTGTTGATTTACCTTTGAAATGGCAGTTTTCTTAATTGAGCTCCTTTGTTGTGCATAAAATGGAAACTTTTCATTTATAACTTTTAAATCCTAGCTTTTTTTTATTCGAAAACCACTGACCGCTTATTTGCAGGCTTTTATACGAGAGCTGTCAATCAATTTGAATYCACCAATCACCATCCGTATTTACTTGCTAAAGCCAGCCCACCAGACCCGCAAAACTCAAAATGTGATGAGGACACTTTTTGGTGAATTTACTAACTTTACAGCCAAAAAAGTAGCGTTTAAAATTATTTATATTTCTTTTGATGCATAGATCTTGTTTATTTTGTTATATACTATGAGATCTGTGAGTTTAAGTGGATTTAGAGAAACAGTTTTGGAGATATTTTGACTGGAAAAGCAGACTTCGCATCAATCACCCGGCATTTTAGAGGAAGTCTTTTGAAATTGTAGCGGCATTGTGAGTCTCAAGTCGTCCAACATTCAACCGATCTCGATTTTGTCCGATTTTAAATCAACCAAAGGGTGCTTCAAGGCTATAAAAACAAGACCAAAAGTTACTGGAACATCTTAACAATTGTGTTTGATGTTATTTGATAGTTGGATTGGCTGGAACACGCAGTTTGGGAGACTTTTTGAGCACTGGATGACCATACGTAGAACCATTCCCTTGGAAAGTCAATGCCCTTGCTAAAGAGAAAGCCGTTTACCCCTGAAAATCCGCCAGCAGACCTCAAACCTAGTGATGAAGTCTTCGTTTGTGTCCATACAAATGAAGTTTTTACAGATTACGAGTAAGTAGAGCAAAATAGTTATTTCATATCCGGTTTTCAGCCATTCATTTTGTGATGATATTTCTATTCCCTGCACTACATCGTCACTCATCATTTACGCCATGTATTCTCTTTTGATCAGGTCATTCTTTAAACGAACAATCCTGTGTAACAGCTTGGTTTGGAGCTGCAAATTTACTGGCAAAAGTAACCTCACTTATTCTGAAGCCTTGAAATCCGAGCGTCAAGTAATCAAACAAGGGAATAGCTTGTCTTCTCCTTTACAACGAGCGACACTTACGCTTGTTCACAACATCCAACGTGGTCGACTAGCTAATTTATGCGATGAAGTATTCTCATATCTAAAAGATCGGTACCAAGAGGGTGAAGATGTCGAAGTACAGCATTCAGGAAAAAGGTAGATTCCAACAAACTTAGTAGATTCTGAAGTAATGTTTATGTTGTACCTGGGGTAACTAACTTGGGTAGAAAACCCGAGACCCGTGCATTGGAAGTGCTGCGATGTAGGGGCCACTGGCGATGGCGGGCATTTTCAACAGGGTGAATTGACTTTCCTTCGCTTTTCGTCTCCAGATCACTCACTAATTTTATCAATTTAGATTTAATTCGTTTTCAAAAGGTCTTATGAAGGGTCCTATAAGGGTTGGGAGGGGTCCAGGGGTGTTTTGCCCTCCTTTTTGGAGAAAAAAGTTTGGTGTTATCGATTGTTCAGAGTGTCATTGTAGTTTGTTTGTTGAGTGGTGTCAGCCATCTTGGCAGTTGGAAATTCTAATTTTGGTGGTGGAGAAGATCAGTGTACAATAGGTGTGTGGGAAAGAATTTGACATGACGAGTTGCCATGGGAACTCCTAAACTTTATTATCAGTGATTTATAAATTTTATCTGTTTCTATTTTTAATTAAATTGAAGAATTCTATTGTTATTGTTTTTCTATGGGTATTAAGATTTTTATCATGAAAAATATTATCTGATAAAATTTAAAAATGAACATTTAAGATTTTAATCCATTTATTAATGAACTCTGGTATTATTTTGTTATTTTTTGATGCTTGCAGGAGGAAAGGAAAAGTTCAGAAGGTAATTGAACATGAAGAACTTCCCAATGGAGTTGAGAAGGTGACATCACCCAATTYCAGGAAGCATGGTTTAAGTTCTGGAAAAGATAAAAAAACAGAGAAATCAACTAGTACTCCAGGAAAAATTCGGAAAGGAAGTGATGGTGGTGGAAAGTCCAGGAAATCTAGTGAAAGTTCTTTAGCATCTCCAGGAAAATCAAAGTCAGCACCAGAGTTTCTTGAAATACCAGACACACCTGAGAAAGGAAGCTTAGGTTCAGTATCACCAAAGTCACCCAAAAAATTACTTACTCCAAAACAAAAACACTTTTCTACGAACGATAAGCAGACAATATCCTCACCTACTTCAAAATYATCTAATGAACTTGATGAGGATGATGATGTTATGATCATTGAGGACAGTAATACTAATAGTGAAACTAAACAAAAAGAAGAATCACTGCTAAAKTCACCAAAAAACAAGAATGCTGAATTTTGGCCTRATCCCAAAACTTACAAATATGCTGTACAACTTTATCATGACAAAAGTTCCAAGAAAAAAGATGCCAAAGAGGTTGTGATTGTAGATTTTAATCACATTTGGTAAGATTTATTATCTCTTAAACTCTAACTACATACTTGTTTTTTTTTTAGTAATACAACTAGAAATCTCTTGCGTTCATCTCTAAGCTTGTTTCTCTTGTGCTCTCCATCTCCCAGAGTGTTTATATCATAGAACAGAGACATGTGCTGCCATTTTATGTGTCTTATATAAGATTTTTCTGTCTTTTGAGCATTTGAATGGCAAACCATGTCCCTGTGTTCTCATATAAAAATCATAATCAGTCAGTAAAAGTCTACGGACATTGACATCATATCTCAAAAAATTTATAAATTATAATAATGAGGATAATCTTCAAAAACATTAATCTCATGTGCTATGTTGTTAATATTAGTATGAGGCATGGCAGTTAAGATGCTGTATCTATCAGTACTAGTCAATCACATATGAATTGGATGTTGTAAYATATCTCTTCCTTGTGGGGTCATGTAGGTGTTCATATGTGTTGAGGTTACCTTGAGAATATTATTCTGCTGAGATTGTTTATGGATATTTATTGTGATAATTTTATGTTTTTAGTCGTAAGAAAGGGTCTTTTACTAGAGACAAGTTGAAAAACTTTTTGAAATTGTCRTGTGAACGCAGCAGTCAAAACTCAGAGGGATTCTACTATGTTATAGTAAGTAGATTTACTATATGCATCTTCCTTTGCATTGCACTTTATGATAAAGAAATTTTCAGGATGACATGATGTGAGTACAGGCATGCACACATTTTCTGCATCTCATTTTACCAATTTTCCTCTATTATGACAGGCTGAATACAGGAAAAAGTTTGATCTTGAAGAMCCTTCATTTGAAATACAACTTGATTCTCCTCCCAAGAAATCTAAAAAGAGAAAGTCCTCACAGCATGACGATGGTGGAGAAACAAGCTCAGGGAAGAAGAAAAAAGCCAAAACTGATGGCAAATCAAGCAAAGATGATACAAAGTCAAAGAAAAAGAAAATCAATGGAGCACAGTCAAAGAAACTTACCCATGAACAGAAGCTGCAGCTCATAGAAGAGGAGCGAGAGAAACGGCGCAAGGCAATAGAAGAAGATAAAGAGAAAAGAAAAATTCAAAAAGAGCAAGAGAAAATTGTCAATCAAAAGAGACGAGAAGAGCAGAAAGAAAGAAGAAAAGTAGAAAAAGAGCAGGTAGATTTACATAAAATAGTGACTTAAATAATATTGTGTTCTTGTTGGTTATGTTTAATTAAATCTTTCTTCCTTCCACAGTTAAGAGAGCAGAAAAGACAAGAAGCAATACAATTGAAGGAATGGAGTCGACCCAGAGAAGATCTTGAACTGGATGATCTCAAGGTATTGATCAAAATTGAAAAAAGAAAATTGTTAAAAGTAAAAACTCTTTTATAAATATTACCTAATTTTGAATGTTTGTAGTAGTAAAAATGAGCCTTTGATATCCTGGAGAAAGGAATACCTTAAAAAAATAACAACAACAACAACAAAGAAATGCATTGATCTCCTCTTGTCTTCTATTGATACACTCTTTTTGTACTTAAGTACAGTAGCACAGCTTCATTTCTTTGTGACAATGTATTTTTGCAATTTGGTGTAACTTTTTTGACTTCATGCAGGATCTTCCAGAACCCCAACCTGTGCAAGTCAAGATTGCTAATGAGCTATTTGGTGATGCAGTTATGGTGGTAGAGTTCCTGTATGTCTTTGGATCATTATTTGACATGAAGGATGAATTCCCTTCCTCACTTAGYTTTTGTAAGTATTATTGCATAATTTAATGCAAGTTAGTATTGTAAGCCATCAACTTTCAAAAAAAGATATTAAGACAATGTATTATATTTTTTTGGTTCCCTGGAGGCTCCTCTTCATTGCTTTTGTGCATGACCATACAACCAGAATACTGGTATCCAAAGTGGGCTACAGTCAAATCTCCACTTGCAGACTGTCTTATAGACAGCTTTCTAAAAC